TGCCGCAAAAGTCGGGGTCAGGCTATCTTTGGGCACGGTCTTGTCATCCGTGTAGGAGGGGTAAGTAACTCCTCCTCTACTGTGGCTCTTATACTGTCCTACAACTACATCTTCAAGTCGCAATGGCCGCATTGACCGCAATACCTTAACCTGGCACACGGCAAGCAGTGTTTATCCTATATGTGCATATATACGAGATCACACTAAAGCATCCTGAAATAGCCAACGTCACCTTACCTTCTCATTCCTTATATCTTCGGCATCCAAACTTACAGGTGTTTCCATTGCAAAGAGAGCAAGTATTTGAAGTAGATGATTCTGCATTATATCTCTAATTATTCCATAATTATCAAAATACCTGGATAATCAAATAACAGAAGCAAAAGGCCAAAATTAATCTATAGTATAACATAGTTCCCTGTCGGACAATACAGTAAATACTAATCCATGGTAAAAACAATAAACGATGGAAAATTACCCTCCACGGCCTTCAGTTCCAAAATCTTCTGAGAATATTAGCTGTACATTTCTAATATACCGCCTTGACCACAAGGGTTCGAAAATAAGATTGGCGAACCGGAGGACTGAAAGATTTTCCACAAGTTCCTTTCCTAGGTAGTGATCTATCCTGTAGAAAGAATATCATCTGATCAGATTGCAGTTCACATTCTTCGCAAAACAAGCACCGATATGAGCAGGGAAACTCCACCTGAATATTTGATCCTCTTCTAGGTACTGCTTCAGAGCTTTTGTCAGCATGGCAGAAGATTCTGAATCTCGACCAAAAGGTTTCTCGACAATGACCCTGGTCCAGCCATTACCAGATGAAGCTGACAAGCTGGCACATTTGACAGCCTCAATAAAAATATTTTGGAGGGATAGACAGATAAAAGAGGCGATTAGATACCCTCCCACCCTGCATGAGTGGTTTCACATCAAATGTCTCGGTTTGTGAAAAGGAATTCTATCCACCAAAAGTAAAGCACAACAAGGTATAAGAGGCTTTCTGATGATAATCTTATGATGACACCATTTTCATAAGCCTAGATAGAGGTAATGATTCTACAGCCATCAATTCCCAGATAAAGATTAGTGATAGAACATGAATATTTATTAATCAAGATGGTTACCGATGCTTAAATTGTTCAATTCACGCTTAAATTGCTTTGGCAGAATCTGTAAAAATATGGAGAAATAAGTGAAGATTCTGTCCAATGCATCACTGAAAAAAATTTGGTCTGGACTTGCAATATCTCAACAACACATTCAATTGAGCAAAGAACACAAACAACATGCCAGAATTTGCACACCCACCACACCCCTTGAAATGGTAGGAAATTCCAATTAAATAGATAACAAATCACAAACTTATTACCTCGTGCTTCCTGAGCTTCTTGTCCAGCTGAGAAAAATTTTCCTCAGAATCATACTGGCCAGAGTGGTAGAAACATCTTTTAAGAAATTGGTCCATCTTTTCGTTGCAGTTCTCCCTGGATTTACATATCACAAGAATTTAAGTTGGGGCAATTAAAAGCCACAATCCAATCCGTTTGTGGCCTCATGCAAGCAAGCGAAGATGGAAAATAGTTCACCTTTTATCAATTCTGCAGGTAAGAGTCTTGCTCACCATAGTCCTTAGTTCTGCATCAGTCATCTTACTTCTCGCATAACCATAGATAGTAAAGTGCTAAAACAAAAATAAACGTACATTCAGACTATAATGAAGTTGCATGATTAACAGACTAAAGTTGCAAAGGAAAATTCTAAACCTTAGGAAGATAATCTTCATAATAAAGTGCAAAAAGTGCAGGAAATATCTTTTTTTTTTGCAAGGTCCCCAGAAGCTCCAACCACTGTGATACTGACAGTTGACTCATTTTCATTGCCATCAAACCACGCTCTCTCATCCCATTCTTTTGTCGATGTAAATGACAACAACTCATTTTTCAATTTATCCTTTGGAATTTCATTGGCCTCATGGGTCACTTTTGTGGCCACTACACCTATGCATGAAAACAATTCTTATGTCATAACTCAAAAAGGAAGTTAATCCCAGAAAAAATTCTACACCAGCAATGTAATTGGAATTAAGCAAATTGATAGCCAACTTTAGACTTTTTTCCCAATTCCAAACAGAATAAAAATTTCCCAGAATTGAAAATTTCCCTCCAATATCTTTGTTTGTCCCATTGGAACAAATATAAATAAATAAAGAGGAAGACAAAAAGAAAACTGACCATGTTGCATGAGAACAGCAGTTTGATGGGAATTTCTTAGAGATTGAAGAAAGGCCTTGGCTTTAGCAGGAGCAGGCAATCTCGGAAAAGAATAAGAGAAAGCAAAGCGATGCTTTTTCCCTCGAGTTATCGATGCAGAATAAGAATATGAACGACAATGCGTTGCAGAAAAGGCCGCCATTTCTCAACTAAAAGTTGAAAGCTTTTTGATGTATTAAGGTTTCTCTGTTGAATCAAGAAAAACAAAAACGACAGCGGAAGAAGGATAAATTTTGTAAAAAAGAGAAACGGGAAGGGTTGGGAGTTTGAAGGAGAAACAGAGAGGTTAAGACAGCTTCGATAACATCGAAGGGTCAGAACCTTGAGATCTCCGAAAGATTACTTCTCAGCTTTGCCTAACAGTTCCATCTGAGTCTTGGAAGGCAAAATTACAATCATGATCATTATTTTACATGATATATATTTATTTTAATATTAAATTTTAAAATCTTAATCCTTAAAATTTAAACTCTAAAAATCAATTTAAAGTCTTTAACCCCTAAAATAAATAAGATTATTCAAACAAAAATTTACACAATATCAGATAATTTTTCAATTGTAATTTGATTAAAATCATTTTTTATTAATTTTATTTAACTTTATTTGGGTTGTTAATCAATATTTTTTAATAATTTAAAATAATTATAAGATAGTAATTGTTTAAAACTTTATTTATTAATTAACAACGTTTACGCACCACAAAGATGTATCTGTTCAAACTCAAATATCAATTGTGACAAAAAAATACTTTAGGTGTTTATTTTAACTCAAAAAATACTATAAGTACTTAGATTAAAAATAAGTCGCGTATATTAAAATAAAGATCTAATTATAGTTAAAAGAATAAAAATGATATTAACTATTATATTAATATCGCATGCCACCTCTTCAACAACAATTAAGATTGTGATAAATGATAAAAAAATCAATATTTTTTTATGACATTTAAAATTCTACGAAAGATTTTTGTAACATAATTAAATGATATCAAAAGTATTTTATTCTATTTATATTTTTATCAAATTAATGTCTAAATTATTTCAAACACAACATTTAGGTAGTGTTGGTTTTTACTGTGCAAGCTCTTCAAACCACTTATGTCTGTGTCGCGCAGACCATGCGCAGACATTAGGCTTCGCAGACTGTTTGTTTTTTAGAAGACAGAAGCTCTTCAAACGTCTGCGCGAACTCTTCTTGGTGCAGACATGATTTTATGTCTTCAAAGGTCTTCAAACCTCTTCAAGAACAATTATAAAATATAGTTATTTATTAAAATAATTTTAAATAATTTAATAAGGTTATTTATTTTAAAATAATTTATTTTAAAATAATTTATTATAAAATAATTTATTTTAAAATAAATTATTATAAAATATGGATTGATTTATTTTAAAATAATTTATTTTAAATAATTTATTAGTATGGATTGATTTATTTTAAATAATTTATTTGTATGGATTGATTTATTTTAAAATATGGATTGATTTATTATTGTAGTTGTATGAATTGATTTATTTTAAATAATTTATTAGTATGGATTGATTTATTTTAAAATATAGATTAATTTATTTTAAATAATTTATTAGTATGAATTGATTTATTTTAAATAATTTATTAGTATGGATTGATTTATTTTAAAATATGGATTGATTTATTTTAAATAATTTATTAGTATGGATTGATTTATTTTAAATAATTTATTTGTATAGATTGATTTATTTTAAAATATAGATTGATTTATTAATGTAGTTGTAAAGATTGATTTATTTTAAATAATTTATTAGTATGGATTGATTTATTTTAAAATATGGATTGATTTATTTTAAATAATTTATTAGTATGAATTGATTTATTTTAAATAATTTATTAGTATGGATTGATTTATTTTAAAATATGTATTGATTTATTTTAAATAATTTATTAGTATGGATTGATTTATTTTAAATAATTTATTTGTATAGATTGATTTATTTTAAAATGTAGATTGATTTATTATTGTAGTTGTATGGATTGATTTATTTTAAATAATTTATTAGTATAGATTGATTTATTTTAAAATATGGATTGATTTATTTTAAATAATTTATTTTTGTATTTGTATGGATTATTTAAATTTCAGTATTGTAAAACTAAAATTATTTAAATCTCAGTATTGCAAAACTCTTTTAAGTTTAAAAAATCAGTTTATTTATATTTCAGTTTATTTTAGCAGTCTGCAGACGTTAAAAAACAAACAGTCTTCTTCTTGCAAACTGCAGACCTTTGATCCACCTCTTCTGCTGCAGATGCCTGCAGATGTGGTCCGCAGACTGCAGACCTTTTACCTATGCAAAAACAAACATCACCTTAGTTGATAGTGATAAAGTTAAATTCAAGTTCAAGATGTGTAACCAAAAATTAATTCATGTACCAATTTGAATTAAATAAAATGAAAGAACAATTTAAAATTTGTAATTAAGTTTAGATACTTATTTTTGAATGATAAAATTAAGTTTTAAGTATTAAATAATATATTTAAGCAAAAATGATTTCAAGTAGGCAACAGGGCATCAAGTGGCTCACCTTCCACGACTTCCCTGACTCTTTTTGTCCTTTCCACGTTGAATTTTCTAAGGCAAGCAACTCTTAAAGGAAAGCGGTTTATTGACCAAGTCGCATCAAATTATGACCTATAAAAGTATAGCCTTTTTCATCCTTGAAATCCAAGCACTGATATCACTCTTATCCAAACTAGAAGACATGAGAACACAAGCTTCAGCAGCTCTCACAAGCTCAACACCTTTGTTTCTTTTAATCTTAATCTTCTTTTTCCGAAGTTTCCATGCCAGAAGCCTACAGCAATGCTCCTCTTCCTGCGGAGATTTGAAGAACATCAGCTACCCTTTCCGTCTCGAGGAAGATCCCGCTGGTTGTGGCGACTTTGATTTTCAACTATCTTGCCAGAATAACGCGGCCATCCTGAACCTTCGAGGAGGAAAGTACCATGTCAAAGGAATCTACTATATTGGAAGCGTAGACACTATAATTTATAACTCGAATTTTTTATTGATACGAAATAAAATACGTTACAACGATACTCTCAATATTACAATACTACGACACTAACTGCGATTAATTTACAAACTCCACTAATATAGCTTTTCTAAGCTTTTTCAAATCTCTCAATTCTCTCTATTTTTTTTTCTCTCACTCGTTACTCACTTTTCCTCACTTACCTACATGTTTGTTTTGCTTTCTCTCTCTCTCTCACACACACATATATATAATAAACCGACATATTTGAAGACTTTAGAAACTTCTCAATTTCTCTCAATTCTTGCTTGACGTGTTGTTTCATGTGTTTGCCATGTGAATTCAAACTTGCCAACTAATATCTTGCTCTTGTTGGTTTCTCCAAATTGGTCCACATTTTAAGATTGGATAAGATTTCACATATTTATGTTGCAACGTTTGTCTTTTTTAATAATTGAGTTTGTCTTCTAACACTCCCCCTCAAACTTGATTTTCCATTCTTTTTGTGTTGCAACTGTTGTGAGAAGTCTGATGGTCTCGATACTTGCTACTGGAGCAAATACTTCATCATAGTCTATTCCTTGTCTTTGTTTATAGCCTTTGACAACTAGCCTCGCTTTGTGCTTCTCGACCTTTCCTTCTTTATTGGTCTCTGTCTTGTAAACCCATTTTACTTCAATTGGGTTATGACCTTCTGGTTGTCTTGTTAGCTCCCATATATCATTTCTTTCTATTGATGCAATTTCTTCATCCATTGCATTCCTTCATTTGTCATCTTCAACCACTTATTCGTATGTAATTGGATTACTATTCACAAGTAAACAGAAAAAGTGAAACATTATTTAGCTCATAATCGTTGTACCTTTCTGACATTCTTCTCTCTCTTGTGGATCTTCGAACTTTTGTGGGAGGTGCTTCAGAATCTTCTATATGTTGCTTGACAACGATGGTACAGTTTGTTGAGGACCTTGATCATCAGCTTGTTCATCTTGATTGATAAGATCATCATCTTTATCTTCATTAAAAAATGGTCCTTCAACTTCCTTTTCCTCTTTGCTCCACCTCCAATAGTCTGCTTCATCGAACTCGACATCTCTTGAAATTATTATCTTCTTTGTAAGAGGATTATATAATCTGTAAGCTTTGCTTCTTTCATCATATCCAATGAAAATACATTTTTCTCCTCTGTCATCAAGCTTCTTTCTGGTCTGTTCAGGAACGTGGGCATAAGTGATGCATCCAAAAATCTTGAGGTGTCCAACTCCTGGTTTCTGACCACTTCATGCTTCGTTTGGCGTCATATACTTCACACTTTTTGTTGGACATCTGTTCAATAGGTAAATTGCACATCGAACTGCTTCAGCCCAGAAATTTCTCGGTAGTTGCTTGTCTTTTATCATGCTTCTTGCCATGTCCAGGATTGTGCGGTTCTTTCTTTCTGCAACTCCATTTTATTGTGGCGTGTATCTGGCTATCACCTGATGGATGATGCCATGCTTTTTGCAGAATTCTTCAAATAACTTTGATGTATATTCGCCTCCTCTATCTTATCTGAGTGTCTTAAAATATTGACTGCTTTTTTTCCGCCATTGCTTTAAATTCTTTCAATTTTTCCAGCGCTTCTGACTTTTCTTTCAAGATATAAATCCAACATTTTCTACTAAAATCATCAATAAAAGTTAGGTAGTACCTGTTAGTGTCAAGCGATCAAAAGGACCGGTTATATCTGTGTGTACTATCTTCAGCGGTATTCGGGCACGCCAGGATCTACCAACTTCAAAGCTTTGTCTATGTTGTTTTCCTTTGATGCAAGCCTCGCGTATTTGATTTGGAGGGTTGATCTCTGGTAATCCTTTCACCATGTTTGTTTTTTATAACAGCTTCAAACCAGAAAATCCAAGATGTCCATATCTTAGATGCCACAGCCATGAATCATCTTTGATCGCAGTCTTCATGCACTTGACTTCTCTCGACTAGATATCAATTGTAAAGAGACGATTTCGAGTCATATCAGCTTGGGCTATCAATTCTCTTTCTTTATTTTTGATGGCAAGCGAGTGATTCTTCATCTGCACTTCATATCCTTTTTCCAGGAGTTGACAATAGTGATGATATTGCTTTTCAAAGCAGGTACATAATAAACATCTTAAATGTATTTCTTTTCTCCATTTCTCCGAGTAATCATGACTTCGCATTTTCCTTTTAGTTCTGCGTGCGAGTCATCTCTGAACTTTACTCGTCCATGGACTGTTTCATCTAATTTCACAAACAGTTCCCTTTGACCACACATATGGTTACTGGCACAATTATCAAGATACCAAATATTTTTCTTGAATTCTTCATTTCCTTTATAAGTGAGGAATACATGAGATTTTTCAATTTTTTCTTCTTCAGCTGCTGCTACGTTATTTCTTTCTTCTTGTTTAGGAGCAGATCTACACTCATAACTATAATGATCATACTTATTGCAATTATAACATTGTACATGAGATTTATTTCCTTGCTGATATATGTCTCGTCCACGGCCACCACGGCCATAACCTGATGTTGGATTGTTTTTACTCATTTGATCGGTGTTATATGATCGACCACCACGTCCACGAGTTCTTCGTCCTCCTCTGTATCTTCCACGATAACCGCCACGATTTCCTCAACCTCGTGTGTAGCTGCTACTAGCTTCTCCTTCGTTAACATTCATCTTGCTTTGTAGAGCTTGCTCCAGATTTTCAAAATCTTCATTTTGTTTCATTTTCTGCTCATGGGCTTGAAGTGAACCCACAAGCTCATCGATCAAAATTTGGGATAAATCTTTTGATTCTTCGATTATCACAACCACGTAATCGAATTTTATTGTTAATGAACGCAAAATTTTTTCCATCACTCTAACATCGTCGAGTGATTCACCATTTTTTTCATTTTATTCAAGACCTCTTTTACACGGCTAATATAATCATCGATGATTTATGTATTTTTCATTTTTAACATCTCAAACTCAGCTCTGAGAGTTTGTAAGGGTACCTTCTTTGTTTTTTCGGCACTTTGTAGAGATTTTTGCAGAATTTCCCACACTTGTCAACTAATATCTTGCTCTTGTTGGTTTCTCCAAATTGGTCCACGTTTCAAGATTGGATAAGATATCACATCTTTATGTTGCCACGTTTGTCTTCTTTAATAATTGAGTTTGTCTTCTAACATCCTATACGATTCGTATTGTCGATGTTAACTTAGCCAATGGAAGCTGTGCTCTTCCATACAGATATCTTCCGATGAGTGAAGCCACCGAAGATAGTCGATTCCCCTCATTAATTACGTTCTGGCAAGCGAATTTTTTCAACTGCTCCGACGGAATCCCGAGCTGGCAGATAGAAGAGTACCCTGTTTGAGTGGAAACACTTTCCACGTTTATGTCAATTTCAGTAACAGTAACTTTTTTGCTACTGAAATTCCAGGGACTTGCAAGGTCATTTCAAGGGTTCCTACAAGCTCGGAAAATGAGTTGAATTACGTTTAGTGTAGGAATTGCCACACATTTGGCTATTCCTGCTTCTACAGGTCCAACAACGATACAAGAATCTTTAAGTGCGAAATGATATATGAAGAAGAGTATGGAACCCAATTAGCGTTTATCATATCGTATCTTGTTTCAAACTCTATTATTGGTATAATTTCACTTCTTCTTTGCTAAATCTTCAATTGTTTCGAGTAAAACTGTACCTGTTTTATCCATGTGGTATAGGCTAAAAAGTTTTGTTAAATATTCTGGCTTTGCAGATAAGGCATTGGTGGTAAGATTCGTCTTCCTTCCCTTGGTGGTGTTTGCTTTCCTTCTCCACAAATGCTTAACTACGCGGAAGACAGTCTTCGATGCAGAAACTCTCGGATTCGGTCAGAAATTCTCAACGCCGAAAAGGTACAGTTATACAGAAATACTTGCCATGACAAACAATTTGGAACATAAACTAGGGCAAGGATAGTTTGGCTCAGTTTATATGGGACAATTGCTACCAAATGGTGGCTTGGTTGCTGTTAGATTGCTAGCGGAGTCCAAAATTAGTGAGGAAAACTTTCTGAATCAAGTGTCGAGTCTCGGTAATATTGAGTATGCCAATGTGGTCAAATTAGAGGGATTTTGTTCCCAAGGATCTAAACGTGCTCTTTGTCTATGATTATATGCCGAACGGATCATTGGACAAGCACATTTTCTCGGATTCTGTGCAATTAGGTTGGGAAAAACTCCATGGATTTGCTTTAGGAATTGCACAAGGTATTGAGTTCCTACATACTACTAGTGCTACTTGCGTCAATCGTCTAAAGTATGAAGCAATTTCTGAATATTAGAATTCGCACATTTGAAACTTGACTTTATTTAAGAGATTTAATATTTATTTTAATATTTCATCTCATTAATATATAACTAATTTCTATATGAATATGAAGCAATCTCTACCGTCACTCTACATAAATAATAAGATCCAAGTAAAATTATTGAAAATAACTACAATATATTTAGGAACAAGTTGATTTTCATCTATACCTACACTGAGTACAATCCCTCTGAAGTATGAATTCAATTTTGAGTGCAACTCTTATAGTCACCTAATCCATGCCATTAACGATAATTAAGGGATAAATGTAGCAATCAGTTTTCAAAAACTAAGCAATGGGAACCTTTTGCCAGACAAAGAAAAGATAATGGAAAAGAAGGGCAAAAGCAGGTTATCCTCATACTTGGATAAATGGATTAAAGGTACAATTATTATTATTTTTTATAATTTTTCTGGTACATTACAACTTGGAGGCGGCGGTGGCCTGGGGCTGAAATAGATAAAAAGTGAGCATTAGGGTTTGTTTTTTAATTTGATCCTAATATGTTTATTTATTTATTTTCTTTGTAAGGCATTATTATGATATTAATATATTCTTTCTTATTTATATTGACATGTTTATTTATTTTTCAGCTACATTTTTTCCTTAATATTTTCTTATTATTATTATTATTATTTTTACCTATATCTATATATTTATTGTTTATTTTATCATTAGTTTACTTGCAATGTTATTTCTTAACATATATTTTGTATTGTGATTTATTTTTATTTTTGTTATCATTATTTATTATGGTTAACTGTTAACACAATCGGGTTTTTTTATTTGTTTATTATTTTGAAAATATTTCTATTTTTTAATCGAGATCATCGGTTTATTTTAGTATGGTATTAATTTTTTGACATTGTGAGTATTTTTTTTTTATTTTTAAGTGAATACAAGATAATATTTAATCAATACTCTCAATCTTTTCATATAAAATAAAGATACGTACTTAACAATGTTTTCTGAAAGGATTTCCTTGAAAAATAGTCCTTATTTAAGTCTCAGGTACTGAATAGCGTCAACGTTGATTATATACTTACCACGTTAATAAAAAAAGAAATTTTTCAAAGGTGTATCTTCATCATATATGATAAAAATAAAAATTATTTTAAAAATTAAAAACTTTTGAATATCTTTTTCAGAAATAAATGTTAAAAGTATATTATTTTAATAATTTAACCCCATTACTGCACGTCTTTGCTACTGCTTTGCTTTGACACAAAAGCCATTACCACGCTCAGATTTTGTGCATTTGCTTAACACTTATGCAACTTCAGAAATTAAAATACATGTATATAGAGATTAATTTTTATTTTTTAATGAAATAAAATAGAAATATGTTTATATACGAACACAAAATTCTAAAAGTGTTAATTAAAACAAAAAAATAATCCAATATAATTATAAAAATAAAATATGATAAATATAAAATATAAAAAATTCACATCAAATATAATTTAATCTATTAAATATAAGTCTTGTAAACCAGAAAATAAATATTTAAGTTACTATAATGGTTAACTATACATTAACGAGAAAGATATGGAGTATTTGAGTCCAAATCCAACTCCTACCAAAGGAAAGCCTAGATGTTCCATCACCCAAGCAACCTCCACTAGAGAAGAAAAGAGCATCAGAGTTACAGGGAACAAGATGATCGTAAAAGATAAGCAACAAGGAAGGAGGGAAGGGCAGCAACGGTTGGAAATGAAGGGTATGGGAGGCGTTGGGAAGAATTAATTTTGCCTTTTAAAAGGGCAGCAACATAACACTGCCCATTCCCCCCATACCTATTACTCCCAACACCACTCTCCCTCTCCCTCCATCTCCATATCTTCAACCACTACTGTATTCTTTTTATGAGAGAACCAAGGGGCAGAGAGAAGCAGAGGAAATGTTTGGAATGGGCGGTGTAGGCAAAACAGATTCATTCCGTATTGCAATATACGGCAGAGAGAAGCAGCGTTTTGCCAATCCGCCCATCTCCAAATACTTCCAACACCGATCTCTACCCCACCTCTCTCACGTACCAGATGATGGTGAGCAAGGCTTTAGGCAGTGAATATAAAGGAGATAAAAGGTAAAGCCGTAGGTTATTCCGTGTCTCGCTTTTTCTTTTGCTTTATCTATTTCATGGAAACCGCACTGTTAAAGTCACGTGGCAAAAAGACAAAGGACAGTGAAAAGAAGGAACCGCTGAAATGCAGGATAAGAGAGATGTTTTGAATCAAAGCTTTGGAGTCATAATACAGTGAACTTTTAGAACATTTGAATTTTAACTAGTGAACTTTTAAAAATTATAATACAATTGTTAAAATATTGATTATCAGTCGTCGATAAAAAATATTGATATATTAGTCATTCTTAAAAAAATCTTAAAAACTTTAGAGTTTATTCACAAATAATTGTGCTCTTTTTTCACCTGATATTATCATCAGATGTTTTTTATCTTACCTCTAAATAAAACATTGATCATGCTAAAAAATTCTATCATCTTTCCACGACTATTAAAGCATTCATCACCATCATTAATGCATCCAAGTTTTAAATACCAACAACTATCATCCACAACCAAACCGATCTAAAGTCGTCGTCATCAATCTTATTTGATTATTGTCTACAATCATAATCACCAATAACAACAAACAACAAACAACCAAAATGAGTAAATGAGTAAATAAGTAAAAAAGAAGAAGAGTTAAAGAAAATTATCCATCCCGACTTCGATTAGTTTTAGATGAACTAATCAACCTTCAATCAATTCCAGTAATGAGGAAATTTTGTTTGATTGAAAAATTAATTTAATTTGATTTTAAGCTGATCTGTCAATTGATAGTGACAGATCAAAAAGTTTCACTTTCAATTTTGGTTAAAATTTAATTTAAAAACATTAAAAAGTTTTTTGATGAGTTTAAACTGATGAAAAGAAAAAAAAAATCGATGATCTTTTCAAATTGATGTAACCACTAAACAATAATAAAAATGACAATGAAAATGAGAGCGACAATTGCCAATTTCAGGTTTAAGAAACTAAGGCCACATCAATATTCTTTAACAGTAATTGACGATAGTGACTGTAGTGAAATCAAATTAAATTATTAACTATAAAATTTAAAAGATTAATGACCAAAATACAAGTACCTAAAAGTTCGGTGAGGTTTACCCATGTATTCATTAGCGTCTGCTACATGTAAGATTCCGTGATATTATGCAATATTTCTTAAAAAGTTGACTCATAAATTGAAAGTTGGTAATATTTTTAAGAAGATAACATATATTTCATACTCAATGTTATAATGTTTCAATTAATTAAGTAATTGAATACCAAAGTTTTTTAGAATAGTGGAAGAACTAGAGGAAGGTTACTACAAGGGGAAGGGCTTGAGGAAGAGGAAGAGGTAGAGGTAGGGGAATAGAGGTGATAGGTGTGTGAATAGTGAAGACCGAAGTTTTTTAGGTTAGTGTGAATGATTATCATAGTTCTTTTGGAGCTGATGCAACTGGTGGAGAATTTTTCGCAAGCTGAAGGTGGTGATGGCTGGCCTGTAACAGCCAACAGATGATCATGAAGGCCATTTCTTGTAACTGTCAAGGTATTGGATCGGCCTTGACAGTTTGGTCCCTGAAGGGTCTTACGAAAAAGTATGATCTTGATTCTTGAGATGCTTTTTGATGGAGAACAATTCTCCTGAAAAAATGGATGAACTACCAACGGAAGTTGGGATTTAAGGAGAGTTTCTATGTTGATCCTCAAGGCTTGAGTGCAGGATTAGCTTTGTGGTGGGTAGGCAATTTTAAAGTGAAGATTTTGATGTTAAATAAAAACTTTATTGATACTGTCAATGAGGGTTAGAATAGGGATGAATATTTTTTTAGTTTTGTGGGTTTATGGAGAACCAATTTTTGAAGATATTGTTGTGGGTGATTTATATTTTAATATATTTTATCAAATATTTATAATGTAACTTCAATATTTATAAAATCGTAAGTCCAAACTAGGGATGGCCACTTAATCCAAACTCGACCGGATCAAATTTTTTTTAAAAAAAATCCTAATTGAATTAGATCAGATTTAAGTTTAATGTAAAAATTACTTGACTGACCGAAAAAAAAATTTATCTTATATATTTAAAATCAATTACAATAATACCTCTACATATAATTTCTTTTCAATTAAACTATTATTTTTATTGAATAAAAATAATTTTTTATTATTTCGAATCGGTTGAGTCCATATTTTGATTGGGTCAGATTTCGGAGGGAGGTTCCTCGTTATCGGGTCGGGTGGACCAAAAACCCGACCCGACCCGTCCCATTACCATCCCTAACTCCAAGCAAAATTAAGGTATCAGATCCTCCACAGAACCATCAGACGGCAGTTTCATCGAGTCCAAACAAAATAACTATCACTACTTAGAAGCAACGACAGATCCAGATCTTCCACCATCGCGTTATAAATTTGTTAATATGACAATTAGCTTATATTTCAGGTATAGTTCATGGTTAAGGATTTCAACAGGTTTTTCTCTTCGAACAAGAATTATGAACTAATTCATTTTCAAAAGCGGAGGTTAAATCCAAATTCAAGCGTATATATCTTTGATTCCATCTCCGTGTAACAACAACAGAGATTTATGAATTGAACTCTCAGGAAATCCATGGAAGCTTACATATATTTACAGCGAAATAACAGAGAAAGGATAAAAACAGATCTGATTAAATATAAAAGGAAAGATGAGAAAATTAGAAAAGAACTAGCGATTAAACTTACCGAGGCAGGCGCGAAATGGAAGAAAAGGATCGGAGAAGAAAGAAAATGGAGAGGAAGAACCGGAAATCAGTGGAATGGGGGTATAGGAAAGATCTGATCTAATCTCTTGTATACTTGTTTATATATCAAGAGAGAAGAGAAAACATCTTTCCTAACGCCCCTTTCCAAAAATTCCCGGTAACTCTCTCACCGTTTT